CGTTGGGCTTTAAAGAAGGTGGTTGAGGTGACCTTTGAACTCACCAATAAAATTAACTTCTGTGGTTGGTTGAGGGGGAGGCTACCTTTGACTTAATCGATAAAAATTAAATTCATTTGATAAAAATTAAATTCATACGAATAACTTTTCCAAATCATCCACTTTTTTTAACACACTAAATTATAAAACTTTAATTAATTAACATAAAATAGCAAACTTTAAGTTAATTAAATTAAATAACAAACACCCACAGTCGTTTCTTATCGACATAATGTTAAAACATAAAAACGTGAAAATAAATCTAGGTCTCTCCATCTGAGAAAATAGACATATAAAGAATAAAGAACCTCTCTAGTTAATTAAGAACACAGTTCGAACACAATTTAATAATATTTAAGGAACCATTATTTAACATTTTAAAAAATATTAATATTGAAAAATATAGTTTTTAGATAAGTTTGTACACTAGATATACAAGGAATATATAGTCCAAAGGTATATTCTAGATATATATATACCGATACCATATATATATATTCTAGATATATACCATATATTCTATATATATATATATATATATATATGGTATACGAAGTATTAAGAATTAGGAAATGTATTTTAGATATACAGGGAAACCCTAATTATGTACAAGGAAACACCCTAATTATGTTTTAGAAAACACTCACACTCAACCTTTTTATGTTTTTACGTTTTACATGCATTTGTTAAATATCGACCAAATCATAGTCGACCTACATATGGTCGATCTAAATCATTAACTCATCTATGTAGCCGAACAAATGAACTATCAATAAACATTTAGCATATAAATGATGAAATCTCAAGACACACACAAACACACACATATATATAGTACACTAGATATACAAGGAATATATATTCCAAAGGTATATTCTAGATATATACCGATACCATATATTCTAGATATATACCATAATTTCTAGTCTAGATATATATATATATATATATATATATATATATATATATATATATATATATGGTATACGAAGTATTAAGAATTAGGAAATGTATTTTAGATATACAAGGAAACCCTAATTATGTACAAGGAAACACCCTAATTATGTTTTAGAAAACACCCACACTCAACCTTTTTATGTTTTTACGTTTTACATGCATTTGTTAAATATCGACCAAATCATAGTCGACCTACATATGGTCGATCTAAATGATTGACTCATCTATGTAGCCGAACAAATGAACTATCAATAAACATTTAGCATATAAATGATGCCATCTCAAGACACACACACACACACACATATAGTACACTAGATATACAAGGAATATATAGTCCAAAGGTATATTCTAGATATATACCGATACCATATATTCTGGATATATACCATATATTCTAGATTCTAGATATATACCATATACGAACGAAGTATTAAGAATTAGGAAATGCATGTATTTTAGATATACAAGGAAACCCTAATTATGTACAAGGAAACACTTAGCATATAAATGATTGCATTCAATATTTACCAAACAAATAAAATAACAAAAATTACATAGACAGTTTACACATTGATGTCTCCTTAAATTCCTGACATATATCAAATGCCAATCTAAGTCTGATTTTTTTGGTCTTCTGGTGATTAATATTTTCGAGTTCTTTGAAATCTTTCCCAAAAAGGTCCAACTCTAGAAACTTTAAGGCAAACACTCCACAGTCATCCTCTTTCTGTTGCGGTACAATAGGGCGTTTTACTTCCCACATTGACTTGTTTTCATATGTGTGTGTACCCAACTTGGCAAAGGATGCTATTACAGGGAATACCATTCTTAATGGCTTCATAGCTGCTTCAAAAGTTTCATCACTCATCAATCCCCTGAGAGAGTCAAATGTTACAAGCTCTCCCACCTCAAAGTCTGCTTTTACACAAACCCAATGATTCCCTCCAAGATTGTGAGGGAAATAAGCATATTTAACATTTTCCCAGGGAATCATGTGTATTGATGTGGTTGTCCCTAGAATAGTTTTCTCTATACTTTTTTCTAGTGTCGGGTAAATTTCTTCATTTCCATTGCGCTGAGCCATTTTACCAAAATAAGCTGTAGGTACAACAGCATGGGAGATCTCTTTCTCAATAAGACGTTTTCTCAGATGCACTAGAAACTCATCAAGATGCTGAATAATTTAAATGTGGTTTAGTAAACATATATGTGAAAAATGTAATTTCAGCGAATAAAATAACTTCATTTGGTTACCTCGATCGCAAGCCAACCACCAGGACGCAACAACACAGTCCAAAAATTCTTTGACACTCCATCTGATTCTTTATATTTATGGAAAAGACACTGAACTTCCCTGTCCTCTTCTATGGCTTGTTGAATCCAGCTAGAAAATCTCTCCAAAACCTTCGCATCAGGTTCTTCAAGCTTCAAAGATGCATCGTCAACTTTTACCTTAAACTGCCTTGGCTTTGTTTTCTTTCTTTTTGCTCTTCCCATTACCTACAAACATCTATAACCATTTCAAAAAACTTGGTCGAGCATAAGGTCGATCTTTCGTACTCATCAAACCGAGTTACCTCTCCACTCTCTCCTACCAACTGATCATGAACCTTCTCATCAACCTTGAAATTATATGTAAAATTGGTAAACAATGATTATAAAGAAAACAAAAACTTACATTGTATATACATATTAAAGCTTCCTTTAATATCAGTGAAATAGTTCATACATTTAATGTTTCTTGAAACTCTTTACATATAGAATAAGCCATGAGTAGTCTAACTTGCTTCATGCGGCTTTCAGTCATATTTTCAAGTTCTTTAAAATCTTTACCAACCATGTCCAACTCTATGAACTTCATTGTAAACACACCGCAGTCACTCGTGGTTTGTTGGGGTACGGTAGGCCGCTTTACATTCCAAAGAGGCATTATTTCTGGGTCATAGACAATACCATTAAGGATGCAAGCAACATTTCCAAACCATTTTCTGTGCGGCTCTAAACTGCGTACTATTTCATCATCACTTCTGAAGCATCGCAGAGAGTCAAACACAACAAGCTCATTGTTTTCGAAATCTGCTCGCACTGCCATCCAATGAGTTTCAGCAATGTTGTGTGGAAAATAGAGACGCTTCACGCCTGTCCAAGATTTGATATAAGAAGTGCTCGAAGTCCCCTCCATCATTTTATTCAAATCATCCAGCAATCCAGGAAAGAGCTCTTGCTTTGGATCCATATTGGTATCAATAAAGGAAGAAAAGAATTCCGTCGTGACAACAACATCTGAGAGACTTTCATCAAGAACACGTTTCCTCAGGTAGGAAAGATACTCGTCAAAGTGCTGAAAGATTTACATGTGATGAAGTAAACGTTTTGTATAAAAAGAAATACTCATCAATATAAATAATGTGGTTACCTACTTACCTGAGACTCAAGCCAACCACCTACGTCCAACATCATGGACCAGAATTTCTTTTCCATTCCAGAACTTTCAGAATACTTGTCCTCGAAGCACTGAACATCCCTGCCATCATTCTTGGCTTTTTTTATAAAAGTATGAAATTTCTTCAGTATCGTCTCACTGGGATGACTCCTTTTCTTCCCCTTGTAGGGCACATAAGGAGATTTGGTAAATTTTCCCCTTCCTTTTGTTCTTCGCCCCCTTCCCAACAATGCCTACAAACAATCATAAAGAATATATCATAAAACAATTCAACTACTTGAGAAAACAATTTTGAGTTTTACCTGTTTCTCTTCATCATTAAGTTCAACAATTCTAACATCATCAGCATCACTAACATCTTCTTTGCGAACCAAACCCTTGGCAAAAGCATCGCAAACATAATCAATAATACGAAATGGTTGCTCAACCTTATCATCACCCTATCAATTATTAAGTGTAATATATATGTCAAAGTTTAATATTTTAAAAAATAAATGTAGTCGATATTATAATATTAAAAAGTTTTGTGGTTTACCTCTTTCGTTTTATTATCAAGTTCAGCAGTATCACCAACATTCAATCCTGGATCAACCTTCTCATCACCCTTCAATTATAATTATAATATATATGTTAATGCTTAACCTTTTGGTAAGAAATAAGTAGTCGATCTTCTGTATTCGACCTTCTTTTGGTCGATCATTTATAAGTTACCTTTTCACTCTCCTCAGCTAACTGATCATGAACCGTCTCATTAGAGACATCAGCAATATGCAATCCTGGGTCAACCGTCTGATCACCCTTGCCATTATCAGTATAATATATATTAATGCTTAATCTATAAAGAAGACATAGGTCGGTAGTAGATGTTTATTATTTAAGTATGTAGTTACCTCTCCACTTTCTTCTGTTGTTTCCAATGTACATAAGTTTATTGTCTGCAATGAACAAACAACTTCTTCCACATCACCCTGCGGAAAGAAATTGGAATATATACATTCTAGGCCATCACCCTTGCAATGGGAAAAAAACAGTTGAAAAAGGTTTGTATACAAAAATATTTTTTATTAAACTACTGAACCTTAGTAATAGAGTCTTGAGCATCTTCCAACTCATTTTCTTCTTCATTTTCCTAGAATAAAAATAGTAAAGTATAAATAAAATATACATCAAGTCGACCACTTATTATTTACATAGATTCAAAGTCTATCAAATATTAGTCGATCGAACCTCTGTAGTAGATGTTTATTATCTAAGTCGATGTTTATATAATACATCACGTCGACCACTTATTTTTTACATAGATTCAAAGTCGATCCAATATTAGTCGATCGATTTTTCTTATACACAAACAGTTTCGTTTAAGCAAATATTTTTGGAACTAAAATATACCTCTTTTTCTTTTTCTATTTCCTCACACTGATACTGATGAACCTCTGTAATCAATTTATCATTTTCCTATATGAAAAATAGTAACGTAACTACGTAAGTATTCATGATCATAATTTGGTCGATTACTAACGTAAGTAGTCGATCATAATTTGGTCGATTACTTATAGGTTACCTCTGATTCCCCTAAGCCAATAGAGTCATCAACAATGTTCAGTCCTGGTTCAACCGTCTGATCAACCTTGTCATTATATGTATAATATGTATTAATGCTTAATCTTTAAAGAAGACAAAGGTAGTAGATTTTTTCGGTCGGCCCTCTTTTGGTCGATTGTTTATTATCTATTTAGTTACCTCTCCAATCTCTTCACTTGTCTGCAATGTACATACATTTTCGACTTCATGACCCTGCGGAAAACAATTGGTATATACACATTCAAAGCCATCACCCTTGCAATTGAAAAAACAGTTGAAAAACGCTTTGTAAACTCAAATATTTTTTTATTAAACTACTGAACCTTAGCCATAGAGTCTTGAGCATCTTCCGACTCTTTTTCTTCTTCATTTTCCTAGAAGAAAAATAGTAATGTATTATTAAAATGCACATCAAGTCGACCACTATTTTTTACATAGATTCAAAGTCGATCCAATATTAGTCGATCGAATCTTCTTATTCAAAGCCATCACCCATGCAATTGAAAAAACAGTTGAAAAAAACTTTGTAAACACAAATATTTTTTATTAAACTACTAAACCTTAGCCATAGAGTCTTGGGCATCTTCCGACTCTTTTTCTTCTTCATTTTCCTAGAAGAAAAATAGTAAATTATGAATAAAATATACATCAAGTCGACCACTTATTTTTTACATAGTTTCAAAGTCGATCCAATATTAGTGGATCGAATCTTCTTATAAACAAACAGTTTGGTTTAAGCAAATACTTTTGATTAAAATATACCTTTTTTTCTTGTTCTATCTCTTCAACCTGATACTGTTCATTCATCTTTTCATTTCCTTGAGCTTCTTCTTCTTCTTTTTCCTAGATGAAAAGTAGTAAAGTAAGTATTCATGATCTTACATCTTTGTTAACATCTATACGAATTACCAATATTAACGTAAATTCTAGAATCAAGAACATGTTAAATATACAGCAAAGTCGACCACTTTTTTATTACATATTTACAGGTCGACCAAATATTAGTCGGCGGAATATTTTATACACAAATGTTTGGAATTAAACGATGTACCTTCTTCTCTTGGTCGAACTTTTCAGCCTGAGCCTCTTTGTCTAAACCCTTTTCATCTTCTTGCTCCATTTTCTTTTCAGAATCGTCACTCTCTTCATTTTTCTAGATGGAAAATAAGTAAAGTAAGTATTCATGACCGTTCACAAAACAAAACAATTCTACCAGCTTTAAAAATATTACAAGTCCATTAACAGCTTTAATGCATACGCAATTACCTCCTTTTTATGCTCAGCCCCCTCAACACTTTTCTCCTCTCCTCTAGCAGTGGACTATATAAGGAAAAAATTATAACTAATTATTGAAGCTCAAGTTTTAAAGGTTTATCTTGCTATAGAATTAAGACAAACCTTAACAAGTAACTCTTCAAGTTTCTTGTGCCTCTCTTCTGACCGTTTCTCCAACTCCAGAAACTTTTTGTCATAATGCTCTTTGAAAGAATTGAGCCTTTTTTCTGAAAGATCCTCCAGTTCTTTAAACTTTTGTTCAATATACATTTTTATTGAATCTTCATTGGAAGGAGGCTTAGGAGAAGCAGCAGGGGTTTTGGGGGAGTGTTTCTTTTTCTTTCTTTGTTCCTCTACATGGGCAGTAGGTTGAGGAGAGGCAATAGGGGTTTGAGGAGGAGAGTGTCTCTTTTTCTTCTTTCTTTTTTCCTCCACTACAACTTCTTCTTTCTTCATGCTCAGCAACTTCATCTTTTTAGGAGGCTTCTTCTCCTCTTTAGGACTCTTGACCTCACATGATTTTCTTTTCAAAGAGACTGGAAAAAGAACCAATTTTCTCTCTAATGATTTCACAAATCCATCCAGCTCAACATGTGGGTGACTGTCTTGTACAGGATCCAAACTTCTGACCCAATCAGTAGTTTTCTCCAAATCATCAGGTAGTAGAATACTCTGCACCCTCTGTAACAAACATTTAGTTCTTCACTTTTAGTTGTATAAACAAAACAACGTATTATCGACCGTGTAGTAGTCGATCACGTTTATTTGTTCGACCACAATCTGGTCGAACAAAGGTTATAAGTGTGAAAATGTTCTTACCTTTATTGATTCTTCAGCCACTTGAACCTGTTCAGTGCTGATCCTTTTTGTCGTATTTGGACGATAGAGACGTAACCTCGGCAAAGTAGGCACACAATTAGGGAGTCTCATTGCAAACTTCTCGGCAAAATCAGGGGCGCATTCAAAAAGCAATATCTATTAAAACAAAATTTGAAAAAGTCAAGAAATGCTAGACAAATTGTTATTACAGTATGCAAAATAGAATCTGCAAATGATATTGACAAAGGTCCTTACCGAAATTGGGATTAAGAATCCAGGGAAATTCATTGTTGCTGACTTATTTTTAGCAATTATTTCATCTAGCTTTTTCTCCAAGTCCATATGTTTCAATGCATCTAATGAGCCCTTATACGCCCACGTACCCCATGGGAACTCGTTTTCTTCTTTTCCCCCTATTTTCCCAATTATCCATTCAGGAATGGGAGCTTTTCTCTTAGAAGGAGCTAGAAGGACCATCACTACAAACATGAGTATTGCTACTCTGATCACTTCTACTTCAGCATCCTTTTTCAGTTCGTCCTCAGCTTCAGGGTCCTTCAAAGTTGTGCACAATTGTACAAATCTAGCTACAACTGTTTCATAGCTAACAACTCCCTCAAAATCTTGATCAAAATTCTTCTCAATGAATCTGGCCTTTGAATCATTATCAAAATCATTTTCATAATTGCTAGCAAGGGCGCTGCAGGTAAGCCCGCTGATTAGAGCAAATTCTGTGAGAGAGTAGCGTACTGGAACTCCCTTCACGACAAACCATGCCTCCGATTCAATATCAATTTTGGCTAATCTAGACACGATTGACCACAAATGTAATGGAACAGGGATGAACTCAACATCAATGTATTTCCCAAATACACTCGACCTAAATGCACCAATGAGATTGGGAAACTCACCAAGATTGTCGAAAATTAATTCTATAAATTCATCCAATTTTTGCCTTACTGTGAGCTTCATGCTCGGGAACAACGAGCAGTCCACCACAGGAGGCAAGGAAGGAACCTGCATATAAAAAAAATTACAGATGTTCGACTAAGATACGGTCGAACCAATGGTTTACAACTCCGTTTCGACTAAGATTGGTAAAAAATGTATGTTTAGTTCGACCAAATGATTTTACAGAAATTCACTCCGGATTAACCACCAATGATACTTGTATAATTGGTAGGTATGTTTACTTAGAAAAAATAGTGAGAAACATGCATTGCGTTTTCAAAATAATCAAACATGATTTGGGTCGACTGAGTTGAGTTCGGATTCGAATGAACATCTATAGCTTTCATTTGAGAAATTACCACGTCTAGCTTTCTAAAGAACCAAGTATCGCTCTCAAGCAATCATAAATAATCTAACATTTACCTGAATATTGAGTTCATCTTTGGCTTCCATCACTTCAGATGCTTTCACAAGTCGCCGTCTTGCTTGGCTTTTCCCAAGAGGAACCGTAGGACTTTTGCACTTCATGATGATGGAAGGAGATGTAAGAATGCTCCTCGTCGAAGTCGAAGTAGAAATCGAGGAATGCTTGTGCTGGAAATCGAAAATGCTTCTGCCCTAACCCGGAGCTCGACCGAAATCGATTTCGACTGATAGTGAATGATGAAGTGTGTGGGAAGGGGAAGCTGGGATTCCGGAAGTTGGATTGTGGAAGCTGGTGGGACCAACAAGCCGTTTCCCGTTTTTCGAAATCGGATAGACAGTCGTTTTTAAGTTCATGGTGTCGTTTTATTAAGGGTCCTTATGTAATTACACCATTTCCTAATAATGTAATAGAAGGCCGGGTAGATTCAAAATACTCAACCTTTTTCGGCCCTTTTCGATAAATTCTCCGTACTTGTACGCTCTCGTCGCCTTCGTCTTTATTGTTGCCCAACATAAACATCCCAATTTTATTTCTTTCTTTCCTCTTCTTCTTCCCCATCTCTAAATCCGCTTTTTGTGGCCGTTGTGCTCTACACCACTGCAGGTCCGTGGATTCACCTCTCTGTTCTTTCCTTAACACCAAATCAAATCAATTAATTATATGAACTCTATAAACGGAACCTAATCCTTTTTATTGTTCTTTTTTCATTCTTGAAATATGTTGGTGCTCTTTTATTACTTATGAATTGTGATGTTTATAATTACTAGTCAATTCCTTTTTTTTCTCACTGATCTACTGATTCTTGGTTGCTCTATGAGATTGCGCAATTGTGTCATTCTGGGTATTTCTGGTAATGCGTAAAATCTAACCTTTCTTTAAAAAAAAGGATCTTTTGATGCTAATTTTGGTTTATATCTGAAACGTGGATTTTGTTGGTGGGATTTCGTTTTCGATTAGATCTTGAAGAAGTTTAATCAAATTAGATCCATTTCTTAGCTCGTCAAACTGTAAGAAAATAGCGGAGCCATCATATGAAATTTGTGAAAAGTAGATTGTTTTGGCAGGGATGAATCTTGGCCATCTGCCACCCCCATTAATAACACTATTGTGCTCTTTAACACCATGTGTAGCAGTGTAGTTGAGGGGTTTCAGAAGGGAGGCTGTAATATTTATTTTATTAACTCACTCCATGTTAGTTGGTTGCAAGTGAAGTGATCATCAGAAACTATAACGAAATGTGCAATTTAACTAATAAATATTGATGATTAGTAAAACCAATCTCACCTTATTGAAGGTTTGCCCCCTTATACACTCTTTTGTTGACTCTTGTGCATGAGACCCTTCCCCGGACCATCGCATTGAGGGATGCCTTCGTGCACAGTTCTGCACCTTCGTAAAACCTTGATATGTGTATGGGAATCCACCTTGCTTTGGGATGTTACTTCTTTTAGGGTTTTCTTAGGGTCTGTTTACTTTCAACTTAATGAGCTGAATAGAAATAGTAACTTAATCGTTCAGTAGTATAGTGGTGTTTACTTACTACTTAATTTCTAATGTGACTTATTTTCCGGTCAATTTATGATTATTCGCTCACCATTCAGACATGTTTGTGTTAAAGGATTGCCTTCTTTAACCTGGCTTTTCGTTCAAATATTTCATTGCATACACAACAGCAGTCTTGGCTACAAACCTGTGAAAATCGCCGCTCCCAGCAACTTGCTAGATATCACCTCTCCCAGCAACTTGCGAGCTATCACAAAAGCAACAAAGAGAAATCTCAAACCCTCATCTAGGTATTTCATCTGATTTTTATAATTTTTATTCTCTTTTCTCTTTCCTTGTTCTCGATCTGGCTGTTGAATTTCTAAATAGTCCAGTATTTCTGGTAAAATCAATATATTCCGATAGTTTGGTAAAATTTCTGAAAGTCAACTTAATTTAGATCTGCCATATTCTTACACCTGAAGTTATATGGTCGAATTTCTTTTATTGGAGCCTCATATGTGGTATTTTCATTTGTTCTTGGGATGTTGAATTGTTGATACACCATCTATTCTTAGGATTTCTTTTTATTGTTGTTGGTATACACAGTGAGTTTTTTGTCTTCTGAGCACTGATCGTTGATTGATGATTCGTTGTTTATTGCTCTTTCCAATAATGAGGCAGATTTTATTTGTAGTTAATTAAGTAATTGCAAAGTTGTTGTGGCCATAGTGTTATCATTAGATATATACACATATCATTTTATTCGTTCGCAACTCGTAGCCAAGCATGTGGTAGTTGCCGGGTTCATACTCTGTTAACTCATCCGGAGTAGTTTGTAGTTACATACAACATATATGTTTGATATGCTATTTAGGTGAATAGCTATTTTACATCATTGACCATGATATGTACACCAGAAGTTTTTTTTTGTAGTTGTAGTAAATGTGGGGAAGCCTAGCTACCAAAAAATCCTCTTCTCTCATAATTGAAGAGGATTTTTGGTACGTAGTACTACATTTTGGATTTTTGGTAATATTTTACTGACTTATTTTATGGCGGATTATTTCATTTTGGGTTATTATTAAATGAATATAATTAGTAATTTAATTTAAATCAATTTTTTGTGTTTTTTCTTAGACCTGGTTATCTTGAACACAAAAGTATCAGTAACGGAAATTGGCATTGCACTAAAGTTAAC